CTAGCTCTTCCCAACACCAGCAGATAGCTCTAGCTCTTCCCAACACCAGCAGATAGCTCTAGCTCTTCCCAACACCAGCAGATAGCTCTAGCTCTCCAGCTCACCCAGCTTCCTCCTGTGGACCCACCCCCACAGCAGCACTCCAGCAAGCCTGACCTTCAGAGCTGAGAACAAGCTACATTCTTGTTTGCCACCCACCCCGACCCCACTTCGGCACACTGGCTGAGAACACAGGTGTACCTGGCTTTAGATAAAGAACCAACGGAGGAAAATAGTACATTGACAGAGTATTATAAAAAGCTGTACTAGTAACACATTTGGGAATCTAGAAGAAATGGTTAAGTTTTTAGAAATTCACTATGTACTTAAATTTAAACACAAAGGAACAAAACCTAAATATCCAACAGTAAAATTAACAATAGCTTTTTAAAAAACTCCCACCAAAAAAAAAAGCCCTGGCCCAAATGGATTCACTAGAGTTCTAGCAAACATTCACAGAAGAGTTGATACTAATTCCACTTAACCTATTCCAGAATGTAGAAGAAGGAAGGAACATTTCCTAGTTCATTCTATGAAGCCACCATAACCCCAATGACAAAGCCAAGCGAAGATACCAGACAGCGTATACAAAGAATTAGGCCAATATCCTTTAAGAATTGTACAACATTAAAGTATTTTAAAAGGTAGTCTATAATGAAGAATGGATGATACTGATAGAAGAGGCCCAATTTGCATGATCTAAAAATAAAAGTCCAGGAATTGACAGAATACCAATTGAAATATTTCGATAAGTTGATGAAGCACTGAATGTACTCACTCATCTATGCCAAGATATTTGGAAGACAACTCTCTGGAAGAGATCCATTCCAAAGAAAAATTACCTAACAAGATATGGAAATTATCAAACAATTATATCAAATTCAAGTACAATCTTGTTGGAAGGAATTCAACAATGGTTGCAGCAATGCATGGACAGCGGTAAAAAGTTCAAGCTGGATTCAGAAGAGGATGTGGCATTAGATGCAGCTGATGTCAGATGGATGTTGGCCGAGAGGAGGGAGTACAGCAAGATTGAATGTGTGGTTTATTGACTACGCAAAGGTATTTGGCTAAGTGGATAGCAACTATGGATAGCACTAAGAATGGGAGTTTCAGAACAATTCATTGTGCCCGTTCAGAATCTGTATATGGACCACGAAGCAGTGGTAAAAACACAACATGGGAATACCGAGTGACTTTAAATCAAGAGAACCAGTGCTCTGTGCTTTCACTACACTCACCATTCAGTCTATGTGCTGAGCAAATAATTTGAGAAGCTGTATTATATAAAGAAGAACACAGCATCAGGGTTGAAGGAAGGCTGCCCAGGTGACACAACTTCACTTGGTGAAAGAAGACTTGAAGCATTTGTTGATGATCAAGGATTGCAGCCTTTAGTATGGATTACAACCCAATGTAAAAACAAAAATCCTCACAACTGGATCAGCAATTAACATTATGATAAATGGAGAAATGTTTGAGATTGTCAAAGATTTTTGTCTTGCTTGAATCCATAATCAATGTTCTTATGATCAGTAGTCAAGATATCCAGCAATGCATTGCAGTGGGTAAATGATGTTACTTTAAGGATTAAGGTACGTCTGAACCAAGCCATAGTATTTTCCATTGCCTCATATGTATGTGAAAGTTGGGTACTGAATAAGAAAGATGGAAAAAGAATCACTGTATTTGAATGCTGGTGCTGTCCACGAATTGAAAGTACCATAGGCTGCCAAAAGAACAAAGTCAGAAAAAGTACAGCCACAATTCTCCATAGAAGCAAGGATTATGAGACTTCGTCTCATGTACATTCGACATGTTGTCAGGAGACACCAAGTCCCCGAAGAAGGTTAAGTAGAGGGGCACTGAAAAAGATGAAGGCCCTTAGTAAGATGGTTGACACAACTGTTGCAACAATGGGCTCCAACGTTAACAATTGTGAGGACTGCACAAGACCAGGCAGGTTATGTTGTACACAGAGTCACTACGAATCAGAGCCATCTTGTTGGCACTAACAACATATGCATCTTAAGGTTGGACAATGAAAAAAGAAGGCCAAAAGGAATTCAACACATTTAAATTTTTGGTCCTGGCAAATACTGAAAGCACCATGGACTGCCGGAAGAACAAACAAATCTATCTTGGAAGAAGCAATCAGAATGCTTCTTAGAAGAAAGGATGGTAAGACTTACTATTAAGTATTTTGGACATATTATCAGGAGAAACCAGTCCCTGGAAAATGACATCATGCTTGGTAAGATTGAGGGTTAGTGAAAGAGGCAGGCATTCAATAAGATGGACTGACCATTGAAAATACACAGAAATATGAATGAATAAAAGACAACTATGTATTGGGAGTACCATATAAAAGTTAGTCACAAATACCAAAATGTGATTGATTACACAGTTGAGTATGTGTATGGGAGTCTAGGTGTGTACCTAAATATGGATGTTGCTAGATACAACTGAATCAATTCTGTTCAGTGACCCCATGTACAACACAACAAAACACTGCCCAATTCTGCAGCATCACTGAAATATCTTCTTTTGGTCTGTATGCTCTTTTTCTCCCTTTTTTCAGCCCACAAATGAATATTTTCCTTATTCTCATCTTGCTCAAATCCTGCCTTCTGTGAGCTGCCATTAGAACCGGTTCTTCTTGCTCTAATCTGACAGTACTTAGATAGTTAAGTACATAATAAATATGAACTTGTATTATAGTTTACTTCCATTAGGCAGTAAACACCTTGAAGGCATGGGACTTTAAAAATATAACGCACATGATTTGTTATATATTAGTTAAGTAGCTATGTTTTAAATGAATTTAAGAATAAAAATACTTACTGCTTTTTTCTTGATGTTACCCCAGACAATACCACCTTTACTTTTATGGTTTTTCTGCATATGAAAAACATATTTATCACAATCATCCCTGTTTGAATACAAAATGATTTCAGGTCAATATTATTACACTTTTATTCACAGCACTTATTATTATCATTGAAGCATTTGCTGATGAAAACCAAGGATTGTAGCCGTCAATAGATTACCACTCAACTGGTAATCTATTATCAGACTGAAATCTTCACAACTGAAATCTTCACAATAGGTAACATGATAAACAGAAAAGGTTGAAGTTGCCGAGGATTTTATTTTGCACAGATCCACAATCAAGGCTCATGGAAGCAGAAGTCAAAGGATCAAAAGATGCTGCGCAGACCTCTTTAGAGTAATGAAAAGCAAGGATAGTACTTTGAGGACTAAGGTGCACCTGACCACAGCCATCATAGTATTTTCTTCTTTTTTCCCCTAAATACTTTTATTGGGGGCTCTTACATCGCTTATCACAATCCATACATTCCTCCAATGTGTCAAGTACATTTGCACATATGCCACCATCATCATTTTCAAAGCATTCTCTTCCCACTTAAGCCCCTAATATGAGCTACCCATTTCTTCCCCCTCGCCCCACCCCCTCCCTCCCAAACCCTTGATGTTATAGATTATTTTCCCACATCTTACATCGTCCTGTTGCCCCTCACCCAAGTTTCTGTTATTAGTTCCCCTGGGAGGGGGTTCTAGTTTGATCCTGTGATCGACTCATATGTATGGGAAAGTTGGACACTGAATAGGGAAGACTGAAGATGAACCAATGCATTTGAATTATGGTGTGTGCTGCAGAAAAATACTGAAAGTTTCTTTGGACTGCTAAAAGGAAACACCAATCTATCTTGGAGGATATATGGCCAGGATGCTCCAGAGAGGCAAGGATGGCAAGACTTCCTCTTACATACATTGGACATACTATTAGGAAAGACCAGTCCCTGGAGAAAGACATCATGCTTGGTAAGGAGGGGCATCAAAAAAAGGGAGGCCTTTAATGAGTTGCATTGACACAGTAGCTGCAACAATGGGCTCAGGCACAGAAACCATTGTGAGGATGGTACAGGACTGTGCAGTTTCATTCTGGTGTGCACTGGGTCACTATGATTCGGAACCGATTTGATGGCATCTAACAACATTCAGAGGGTGAAAAGGTAGTAAGTAACCTGAAAGAAAATAATGTAAATTTGTACTTGTAGAAACTGTTGAATTGGTGTATGTTTTGATTATATCCTAAACAAAGATAACATGTAAAGGAAAAACAGTCAATAAACAAAATTAAAGACTAAGATTTTTTTTTTAACAAGAGGAGGGACAATGGTGTGACAATAACTCAAAAAAAAAATCAACAAAAACAACTCACTGCCATTGAGTCAATTCTGACTAGTAGCTACCTCTAAGGACAAGCTAGCACTGTGCCTGTGGGTTTATGAGGCTGTTAATCTTTATTGGAGCACAAAGTCGTCTCTTTCTCCTGTGGAGCTACTGGCTTTGAAGTGCTTACTGTGTTAACAGCACAACTCGTAACCCACCAGGGTGTGACTATAGAGGTGGATAAAATGCTCCAAAGTTAGAGGGAAACAATGAATAAATAGTCTAGGAAATTAAAGCTTGTTTTTTGTTTATTATTCTCTTCAACTTCCATCTTGCTTCTTTCCCAAAACCTCTTAGAACTCCTGCTTGCTACACCTTTTCATTACAAGTACTTTTTAAAAACCATCTATCTTTTTTCCTTTTCCCATTGTTAACAAACACACTCGACTCATTAATTTAGAGGAAAATCTGGTCAAAGTGATTATTAAAATTTTTGTCCAAAATTATATGTTCACTATAGCTCATGATAAAAATTAAAACTAAATAAACCAAAATAATTTATGATTGCTATGAAAAAAAAGATGGTTTTGTCCAATAAATGAATTTAAAATTTCACCATGTTTCTTGAGAGGATAGAATATTTTTTCTTAACCATTATCATCTGGCCTTTGTCTACGACTGTACAGGAATTATTCTTGCTGTGATCAATACTGACTTTACCAGCTAAATGGAGGAGCCTAATTTTCAAGTTTATTCTCATCATTGCTGTGCCTACTAGCTAACCCTATGCTTTTCATATACTTTTTAATATTTCAAATATTTCTTATGTTCATGGTGTTCAAAATTCAGTCTTTCATTCATCCTCAACTATCTTGGCCCCTCTCTAGAGAGAAAAAATGTTTTTCAGTGTTTAATGAATTACTTAATAGGTATTAAATAAAATGAAAGCTATAATAAATATATGAGAAGGCTTCAAAATTACTACAAACTTAAGGCCCCTCATATCTTATAATACACACACATAGCAAACGTACTACCATCAAGTGGATTCCCACTTATAGCTACACAACACACACACAATTGTGTATGTGTGAGGGGTGCATTTTCAATAGCTTTATATGCATGTGAAGGCTGGACAATATATAAAGCTGAAATATTAATGCTTTTGAATTAGGGTGCTGTCAAAGAATACTGAAAATACCGTTCACTGCCAAAACTAGCAAATCTGTATTGGAAGAAGAACAGATTGTTTCATGTACATGGTAAGTCTGAAAGTTACCTTGCTTATAAAACCACTGTTAAAACCAGTTAATTGCTACAAAACCATCGTTATTAGGTGTCATCAAGTTGGTTCCAATCCACCACGACCCACGTACAACACAGTGAAACACTGCCTGGTCTGGACCAGCCTCACACTTGTTCTCTGGTTTGAGTTCATTGGTGTAGCCACTGTGTCAATTCAGCTTGCTGAGGGTCATCTTTCACATTGCCTCTCTGTTTATCCAAGCGTGATGTCTTCTCCAGGGACTGGTCTCTCTTGACAGTATGCCTAAAGTATATGTGAAAAACCCTCACAATCCTTTAAGGAGCTTTCTGGCTGTACTTCTTCCCAAAGATGAGACTTTCTATTCTGGAAAGAGTTAGATTCAGACAACATGGCGGTTTTGCCGTGAGGACCCGTCAAGGGATGAAAACAGATGTGCCTGAAAGCAGATGTTTCAAACAGTTTCTCTGTATAACATCTTTTGCTTTCTACTATACCATCTGATACACGCATCTTGGTCCACCATGGCAGTAGCAGCAGTAACATGGGCACTGTCAAACAGAACTGTCCTGCAACATTTCTTATCAATTCGAAATGGAGTTTTATACAGTGTTTGTCATATATCTACACCGCCTCTCCCAGATGACTATACTTGCAAGGTAGAGCTTGCTTTGACATCAGATGGCAGGACAATAGTATGCTACCACCCTTCTGTGGACATTCCATGAACATACAAAACCTGTTCCTCGGCCAGATCTTCTACATAACAGTGCAGAAACACATGATCATGTGCTGGAAACTAGATTAAGTGAAAGATGAGCCCCTTGAACAAGGACCTATGATAGAACAACTTAGTAAAATGTTCTTTACTACGAAGCACCGTTGGTATCCTCATGGGCAGTATCACAGACATCATAAGAAATTGAATCCTTCAAAAGACAGATGATTTCGAGATTCTCATTAGGAATCATAGAGAAATGTTACCTTTTGCCTCATTTGCCACTTGAGAAAAATATCCGATGTAGTCCCTACTATGTTACAAATAAACTAATTAAAAAAATAAGTTACATTCTTGGAGTTGGAATCAACTTGATGGCAGCGAGTTTGGGGTTTTAAGTCAGTCTATCTATATAATGTACGAGAATTTATTCAATTTTTTATGATTTCAATTGTTTTTATTAATCATTTTATTGGGGGGAGGACTCTTACAAATCTTATGACAATCCATCATTCAATTGTATTAAGCACACTTGTACATATGTTGCCATCAACATTTCCAAAACATTTTCTTTCTACTTGAGCCCTTGTCCCCCTCCCTCCCCCACTGCAGAATTTATTTAAATAGTCTCTTCTTGGGGGGCATTTGAGTAGTTTCTAGTCATTTGTCATCATAAACAATGTTGCAATGGATAAGCTGTTGTGAAGTTGCTTAAATATGGTTTTTCTATTCATGTCTTTGTAACTCCCCCCAAATCATTGGGTGTGACTATGTAAATAGGGAGCATGAAACACTAAGAGGGGAATGGTCAGTTTGGGCATTCCTCTAGGTATAAGAGAGCCATCTGTGAAGCAGGGAGAGTGACTTTTATTATTATTATTTTTGGACCAGTGACTTTCTACTAGCTACTAGCAGAATGCATGCAAGATGCCTTTTGTGTGAAATCCCTGTCTGAAGAGACAGCAGAGGCTGCAGCACTGAGACCGTAAGACAGAGCAGAGGAGCCACACCAAGACCATGAGGCAGAGTAGAGAAGCAACATGGAGACCTTGAGGCAGAGCAATGGGTTTCCCACATCAGGGAGACAGAGACGAAGGGACCAGAGAGATATGCTTGGCAGTATGGCAAGAACTACTATAGACAAAAGGATTGTAACCTTACCAGTTTGTAACCTGTTAGCTTCCCAAATAAGCACCTATAATTGTGAATATTGTTTGTGAGTTCTGCGTGGCCACTGCCACAAATTATTGAACATAGCAGAAAAGTAGAGTGCCATGGGAGATTTCAGAATGGAGGGTGGTGGAAATATGCCAGTTGGCTTTGGGCTAGTGTGGAGTTGATTTTTTCTCCTTTGTGTTGCCCAATGAGGTGAGATGTGGCCTCATGCCATTTCCTTAGCTGTACATTCACAATTGCTAGGAGTAGAATTAGTGGGTGAAATGGCATGTGAATTTATTCTTTTGTTAAAATACTAAAAATTATTGCCTACTGAAATTAAATTGTTACCTCATTAGTGATGCATGAAAATGACTTTCCTTAATAGTTCAGAGGCAAGCCCTGGTGGTATATTAGGTTACATGTTGGGTTGGGCTGCTAATTGCAAGGTCAGCAGTTTGAAACCACCAGCTGAAGGAGAAAGGTGAGGTTTTCTACTGCCATAAAGATTGACAGTCTCAGAAACCCACAGAAACAGTTCTCCTCTGTTCTACAGGGTCACCATAAGTTGGAATACACCCGATGGCAGTGAAATATCTATTAGGAAAATTAGCCTTCTTACTGTGATGAGCTACATATGTTCTTTTCTCATATTAACTTTTGACTGTATATGGTAGCTGGTAACACGCAAGACCTTTTTTATTCTATATGGCTGACTTTATTAATATCTTCAATAGTAATTTCGAGGCCTTTTATCAGACAGAAAGACAAAATAATTCTCCAAGATTTCTTTATGTATTTTTTTATAGTTTAATACTTTAGCTACAAAAGTCTGATGCATTTGGAATTTATACTGATGTAAATTGTGAGTTGTATCTGAACACTATTGAATAGCATCCTCATTTCCTGACATTGTCCATTCTTGACTTCTAAGAACTATTCTTTCTTGATTTGTTTTTAAATGATGCTCTTCACCTTATAGGCATCTACTCACATAATTCACCAGATGTTTAAATATCCCTCATTATACTGATGAAGAGAATTACTGTATTATATGTATAAACACTTACCTGTTTATAGAGGCTAGCATGCCAGGACTAACATGCTGACACTGAGGAGTTTTTGCCAGTGGAAAGATAACTGAGGATGGAGTTAATGGGTTCATATCCATATTTGGCAGAATATCATCCTCTTCTTGATGGTTCTGAAAACTTGGCAACTAGAAAGTATTTATGGTTAGATAAAAATGAAATTTCTCATCATCAAAAATCTTTGTTTCATGTGATAATTTGCTTTCCTTATAATTTTCCAACTGAGATAATTAAACATTAAAAGTTTGATGTGCTTGACACAATGGATGCATGTATGGATTGTGATAAGAGTTGTATGAGCCCCCAATAAAATGACTTAAGAGAAAAAAAAGTTTGTGGACAGAGTTGCCTGTAAAACTCCTAACTTCTTTGTAAAGCGGAGACAGTGGCATCTCTACTAAAACTTGTACACACCCACTTGCGTTGGCAAGCATTTTCTGAAGAGTCAAGAAATATTTTAGACTTTGTGGGCCACATAATTTCTGCCCCAGCTGTTCAGGTCTGCTGCTACAGTATGAGAGCAGCCATAGACAATTTGTAAATAAATGGACATGACTGTATGCTTTAATAAAATTTCACTTACAAAAACAGGCCTTTGGTGTATGCCAAATGAAACAAAACTAATTCATTTTTACTATGTCACTCAGTAGGTGCTGAACAGCATTAAACTATTTTGTGTGTCTATATTTCCAATAAACAATTTAGCCCTTAGATATTACTTACATTAAAACCTACATAAGTGGTTTTATGCTATAAAATGAACACATTCACTATTTTAAATTATATTGAATTATGTTTTTAATGCTGCCACTATTGCATTTAGGCCAAAGCACATATGGAACCAAAAATGATACTGACATTAACACAAAGGGCATTACAAAAAGATCCCTCTATAAAATCTGTGGAGGCAAAAAGGGAGCCTAGATAATTATGTTATTAAACTCTGTAAAGCACTGTGAAGGCTTATGAGTCAAAGATGATTTTGTAATATTGTTAGATTAAAAAAATATCAAGTCTAGTTCACTCTTTCAATTTTTATACTTAATAGCCCAGTTGTCCACATCCACAATTCTTATGTTACTTAAATTTTTAAAATATATTGATTATAGAAATAGTCTCAACTTTGCATTTAATATTATATTATATTTAGAAAACATCCTTATTTTATATATCAATTTTTATTTATTTATTTACTGTAATCCTATGACTATCTTTGGGACGGTTTTGGGTTTCTCCTGAATTTTTTAAGGTAAGTGCACAAGAGTAAACTTTTGTGTTACTTGTACCATCAGAGCCTTGGCGGCACTGTCAGCTAAGACTGCCGCAGGCCAGTGATTCAAACCCACCAGCTGCTCCACAGGAAAAAGATGAGACTTCTTGCTTTCATAAAGATTTACAGCCTCAGAAATCCTATGTTGGATTGCAATGACTTTGAGAGCTGACGCACAGCAATGGGTTTAGTTTGGGGTTATACTGCAATAATGATTTTCAAAAGCTGATTCAATTTATACATCAACCAATGTACGACTGTATTAACACCTTTGATGCTTTGCTGAGGATATTTTAATTTATTTAAAAATTGTATAAATTAGAAAGCATACATATACTTTACTTTGTTTTCCTTTGTTTTGTAAACTGGCTATATTGAGTACTTCAAGTGCTTGCTCAGTCTTTTCAATTTTTCTTGTCACAGTTTTCCTGTTATCTCAATACTTTTTATTATTTCAATAGCAGTTCAGTGAGCTCTTCAGATTACAGATATTACTGACTTTGTTGCAAATGCTTTATCACAATCACTGGAGTCTTACTTATGGTACTTCTCACATTATTAAAATGAACTTTTATAGATTCAAATCTCTTAATTTTGTCATAATGTTGTTTAGTCACAATTTACCATGCTAATTACCTTTTTTTTTTTAAAGGTTGCTCAGTGAATAACCTTTGGAAGCTGGTAAGAATGTCATTGACTGGCAGAATTCTGCTTATACTACATTCTAGCTATGTCTATGGACACTATCAATCCTTAGCTTAAATAGTAGTGATGATTAGTAACTGTACATAAAAGTGAAAAATCTAAAAGCCAAGATAGACCCCCAAAAAAGAAGCCATTTCATAGAGTTAAGACTCTTACCAGCACTCTTCGTTTCTGTAAAGGGGTTGTACTGAAAAAGTCATCATGGTCATCCTTTGGCAACTGTTCCAGAAAGTCCCTCATCTGCTGCTTTCTTTGAAGAGTTCCCACTTTGGCGGTTATCTTAATAGTTGGTTTCTTATCAGCATTACCTGTCTTGCCTTGAAGTCAGGAAAACGTTTTGTTAACATGTACACTAATTGCTCTATAAAGTTAACAGCTTTTCAAAGTCTATATTGTGTTTTCAGATTAAGTAAATTCAGCCTCTACCAATTTTTTAAGTATCCTATGTAACAAACGAGTCTTTACACTGGGATCTGGCAATATGATTAGGCAGCAAGTCTTATGAAGAAGCCACAGAAGATTAGTCATGATGAGATTAAAGAGGTGTATGTATGTATATATATATATATATATATATATATACACTGTTATCATTAAAAATGGAGAAAAGGTTGCATTGTCAAGGATTTTATCTTGCTTGGATCCACAATCAATGCTCAGGAAAGCAGCAGTCAAGAGAAGAGAAAACTCATTGTTTGAGTTCTCTTCCACATTTTTCTCCCACTCTATCCAGGACCGTCTCATGCGATCTTTTCATAGCAGTTGGCAGTGGTAGCTGGAAACCATCTAATTCTTCTAGTCTCAGGATTGTGGAGATTGGTAAATTTGCTGCACAAGACCTCTTTTAGGTATTTAGAAACAAGGATGTTATTTTGATGATTAAGTAAGGTGTCCCTAATCCAAGCCAAGCCAGGGTATTTTTAATGGCTTTATATGCATGTGAAAGTTGGACACTGAACAAGGAAGTCTGAAGAAGAATCAATGCATTTGAATGATGGTGCTGGCTAATACTGAAAATACCATGGACTGCTAAAGGACAAACACATCTCTTAGAAGAAGTATGGCTAAAGTGCTCCTTGGAAACAAGGATGGCAAAGCTTCCTCTTATACACATTGGACATGTCAGGAGACCAGTCCCTGGAGAAGGACATCAGGCTTGGTAAGTGAAGGGACATTGGTAAAGAAGGCCCTCATAAGATGGACTGGCACAGGGGCTGCAACAGTGAGCTCAGGTATAGGACAAATTGTGAGGATGGCACAGGACTACGCAGAGTTCTGTTCTGTTGTGCACAGGGTCACTATGGGTCGGAACTGACTTGACGGCACCTAACGACAATACGCTGTGAGAAAGGCTACTTCCCACACATACTCCTTTTGAAGACTTAATTTATTGATTTTGTTAAAATACATGACTTATTGAATTATGGTAATAATACATCCTAAAGCTTACTGTAGGACTTTTAAGAATAAGACCTTTCATTAGCAACCATGACCAGGAATAAGGAGCCCAGGTGCTGCTGTGGGATAAAAACTGGACTACCAACTACAAGGTCAATGATTTTTCTTGAGAGAAAGATGAGGCAGTCTATGCTCACAAAGATTTACAGTCCCAGAAACTTATAGAGGGTCAGAAGCTACTTGAAGGCAGCAAGTTTAAATATGACACAGGAACTATAAAAATGAAAAATTTCCCCCTTTTTTTTATTAAACCAGGTCTGACTTAAGGCAGTACCAATAAAAATGAAATTTATTCTAAGTTTTCTTATAAATTATTAGGGATTCTACCCACGTGGCTTTAAATTGGACTTTTGGATCAACAATCCAAATATTGCAATTGCTAGATTTAAATGCTGATTTTCTAGAACACAGCTGCTAAGACAGTTATTGATGGAAACAGCTACTTAGGTAAGACTCAAAAACTTAAACAGATCATCTTTAGTCTTCTTTCCAATTTTAAAAATACAAACAAACCCACAGTAAAATAAAATACACTTAGTGAATGGTTAGAAATTTTTACATCGAGAATTACGAAAAAAGTATTTACTACAAAGATTACCATTTTTCCCTTTCAAATTGGCTGGCTTTTTCTTAGGGACACGTTTCCGAAGTCCTTTTCCTTGAGAATCGTCCATATATTTCTTCTGGCATTCCTCAGCTGATCGGGAACCTACAGCTATCGCTACATCTGACCAGAAACCAGGTTTGTACTTTGGAAGAGATGTAAATGCACTATGAAAGACCAAAACCAGTTAAAGAATATGAATTCATATCAATAAAAATAACTTCCTGAGTATATATCACAAAATCAATGAGATTTATTACATTAAAGTTAGTTAATGAAAATCATTCTAGATAACTATCTGAAAAGAAAATAGTCCCTGTACTCAATAACTTACTCTAAAGCTTAATATATGAAAATATACCATACATACTCGAGTATAAGCTGTTTTTTAAGCACATTTTTAATGCAGTTTTTGTGGTAAATTTAGTTGCCTTGGCTGATATTCGGGTTGGCTTATACTCGAGTATATATGGTAAGTTTACTGAATAAATGTCTTCGGATTTGTTGCATTAAACCTGAGAAGCCATCCCAGATTTTCATCATTTTTTTTATAAGCCCAACTAATCAGTGGCCTGGCTTTCTTGAGGGAACTCGAACATGACTACACGGTTTTGTTGTTCAGATTGTGTGTATGCTAAGTATACTGGAGGATGGGTTTATTCCCTACATAGCCTTGGTTATAAACTCTCATTTAAAGGTACTACACTTTCATCCTACTATAATTCATAAAAAATATTTTACATAAAATATTCTAGATGAGAGAAATGTAAACCACAACAGAAAAAGCCTAATCAACATAAAGCGGTCCCTTCTTTAAGAAACGAATCATGTCCTAACATTTCATTTGTAAATGACTACTCAGAATCTGTCATACGTATTGGTAGCCTGAAAACGCAACTAACAATTTATTTCAATATTCCCGTTTACTACTATCTATCCCAGTTATTTAGGTTAAGTGCCACATAATTAACAGGATTTGCTTATGGATTTAATGCTGTCTAAATATTATTCAAAGTTCTACTCAGTCTTTACATCTCCTCTATCAGTCCAGGATACCACACAAGGGCAGTATTGAAACCCATACTTATTGTCTTCTCTCCCCAGTTTTCTCAAAATGTTACCAAGCCACTCATACATGCATTTTTAATGTGCCTTAAGAAAAATTACCCAAAAAAATGTGCCTTAAGAAAAATTACCCAAAAAAGAAATATAAAAAGAGAAAAATTACCCAAACCAAACCTAAACTCCTAATCATGCTCTGTAAGGTGGTACATGATATGGTCATAGCCTACCTACCCCCTGCTTTTTATCTCATGCCAGCCCTACAACTCATTCAACTCTCTCAAATCGCCTGAGTTCCTCACATAGCAACCTTTCCCAACCTTTCTGGCTGTTCTCTCTGCTCCTGAGATGCTTTCTCCAGTTGATATAACTGACGCCATCTCATCTTTGAATGCCCCCATTAGTATTATGGGCAGAGAGCTTTTCTGATCACACTACTTATACTTGTCCAGCTCAGACGCATGGCTGTTTCCTTTACAGAATGTAACACAACTGTAATTAGGTTTATTAAATTGGCTTATTTTTTGTATTGTCTTCCCAAGTCTACACTACAAACTCATTGAGAGAGATCTCTGTCTTATTGCTATAACCTTAAACACTAAAAATGAGACATATAAATGGCTTGGGTTCAATTTCTGCACTATGAAATCCTGGACATATCATCTAATTTTTGAGACCCTATTTTCTTTCCTATAAATTAGGGAGGAAAGATTAGTTCAGCTTTAACATTTTAATAATAACTGAATTGTAAAATATTCCTTAAAAATGTAGAAGAGGGAAAGCAACATTTGGCTGTCTGCAATATTAAAAAATAGAAAAAAGGTCATGTTTTAAAGACTTAATTAGAAGTTATCTGTATATTCACTCTAGTCTCCATACAAATCCTAATTTCTGCCCATTTTAATTTTAAAAATTATTATTCTTTAATAATTTTATTGGGGGCTCTGACAACAATCTACAAATCCATTGCATCAAGCACATTTTTGTACATAACCTGTCGCCCCGAAAGTAAGACAGTGTCTTATATTAATTTTTGCTCCCAAAGATGCGCTAGATCTTATTTTCAGGGGATGTCTTATTTTTCCATGAAGAATATGGTACATATTTATTGCTTTATTAAAAGAGACGTTCCACTTCCTGTCTGCTCTGGCTGTCATGGATTCCATGTGTCAACAGTGAGCTGCTGGCGGTGTCCACCACTACGGTCCAGAGTCCAGAGTTACGGTAGCTTCGGGGGGCCTTATTTTGGGGGAGGTCTTATTTTCGGGGGAATGCCTTATAGTTCAGCGAGAGGCAAACTGCAAGTAGGTCTTATTTTCGGGGGATGTCTTACTTTCGGGGAAACAGGGTATGTTACCATCATCCTTTTCAAAACATTTTCTTTCTACTTGAGCCCTTGATATCAGCTTTTCCCCCCTTCCTCTGTCCCCCACTCTCCCATCAGGAGCCTTTGATAAATTAAAAATTATTGTTATTTTCATATTGTACACCATCCGCTGTCTCCCTTCACGTACATTTCTGTTGTTTGTTCCCCTGGGGTGGGGGTTATATGTCGATCATTGTGATTGGTTCTCCCTTTCTCCTCCCACCTTCCCCTCATGGTATTGCTACCCCCATCACTGTTCCTGAGGGGTTTATCTGTCATGGATTCCATGTGTCAAGAGCTCTTATCTGTATCAGTGCACATGCTCTGGTCTAGCCAGATTTGTAAAGTAGAAATGGGGTCAAGATAGTGGGGCAGAGGAAGCATTAAAGAACTAGGAGTGTTGTATGCTTCGTTGGTGCTGTACTGCACCCTGACTGCCCATTTTTAAATGACATCTTCCATGTTAATGGTTAAAGGTCATTAAAGCACTCCCTGATTGCTATTTTTATGTCTTTACCTGTTTTGTACACTTCTGCAAATATTTTAAAACTACTTACCAATGCAATTTCTGTAACTCCTTCTCATTCCATTCCTTATCCTGTGGTAAACCAGGTAAACATTCTGAGGGATGTCTGTTCCTTTTTTTATATTCCATCCCCTTAAAAGCAGGGCACTCATTCTTAATATCAGAGTTCGAAGCAGTTTGTCTAGCAGAAGATTTAACTTTTTTTGGTTTGAGATAATATTCACTTTCGCTTTCTTCAGTTTCAGATTCAGATATCACTAGAATATTCCTTGTGGTGTTCCTTGTACTTTTTCTCAGGTGGACCTCTTCTTTAGTATTTCTTGATTTGGTTTCCTTAACCACACTAGCTTTCCTTTTAATTTTCTTTTCTGTTTCACTCCCTTTTCTAGACAAATCTGATGACTGATGGTTCTGAAATGACATAGCTACTTGATTTTCAATTTCCTTCAATGTTGACAATCTTGTCTTTCTGCTACAGTCAGAGTCCACCATTTGTTTCCTTCCAAGAGCAGGTATTTTTATTTTCGTGTTGACAGTGAGTATGTCAGGTTCACGGACATCTTTCTTGTTTTCACTTTTGTTATCTGTACTACACTCAAACGTATTTCCTAAAGTCCGTGTGCGCTCCCTGATAGGACGTGTGGTTTTATTTATGTCTAACTTACTTTCTCTTTGAGGCTTTGGAACAGTATCATCTGTTATTTCTTTAATGGCACTAGAGGAAATATTATACTGCATGCATTTATGCTCTATCACTGTTTTAGATTTAAGTGGTGTTAGTAAAATACAAGCTTTCTTCTGACGGATAGCCATCCGTGTTCTTTCTTCATCTGAGAAAATCTGCGCTCTTGAGGTTAGAATATCAGTGGATACGTTTGCTTTTTCGGATCTCCCTGCAGTTTCATAAAACAAAACCAAGGATAAAGTCTTAAATTAGCTATAAAGAAATATAAGTAAAAATATTTTTAAATATACAGTAACTTTTTCTCCCCCTCAAACCTCCCTTGTACACATTGTTGCCTGGAAAACAACTATGTTCTTCTCTGTTCATGACTTTTCACAGTTTACTTGTAGACCTATGAGCACCTTTGCCTACCTTTCTATATAGTTCCAATCTCGCACTAGACTTACATATGAACTTTATCAATGGCTATTAAACCATTTGCTGTTTCTTGGGTTTTCTTGATTCTTAACCTTAATTAATGTATTTACTCTGGAAAACTTTCCTTACTCATTTCCAAACTACCTGTTCAAACTCTACTAATCCATGAGCTTTGCTCTCAATTCCTCAGTCAAATTAAAGTTCTTCTCCCTTCAAATTTCCAGAATGTCTTAAAATAATGCCACACTTTACAAGGTGTCCTGCATTAAAAGTACATCATTGTCTTATCTTTCAACAAAATTGAAAAAAATCATTAGCGGCAACAATTTTGTTTTCATACTTGTATTTCTTTTGGGGAAGTTAGTATAGAAGCTTTCATATACAACACAAAACAAACAAACAAAAACCCCTCAAACTGGTAGTTGCAGAGTCAGTTCCAACACATGGCACCTCCATGTGGTACAGATTAGAGCTCCAGAAGGGTTTCTGGGCTTTACTCTTTAAGCATTTTAGAGTCCAAAAGATATAATTTATAAACAATTTTTTTTTAATTTGGGCTCTTACAACTCATCACAATCCATCTTGTCAAACACATCTGTACATTTGTTGTCATTATCTTTTTGAAAACATTTTCTACTTGAGCCTCTGGTATCAGCTCATTTTCTCCCCTCCCTCCCTCCCCCATGCCCCCTTGATAATTTATATTCCTTTTTTTTCATGTCTTAAACCAACTGCTGTCTCATTTCACCCACTTTACTGTTGTCCGTCCCCCTGGGATGGGGGCCATACATCAATGATTATGATCGGTTCCCCCTTACTCCCCCCCCACCCCCCGACCTGCCTAGTATCGCTGCTCCCCTTATTTTATTATATTAAAATATTTCAAATATTACCTTTCTAATTATCATTATAAAATGATTAGGGAAATTTTACCTTGCTTCTGACTTTTAATTATCCTTTCATTTGTCCTTTCATAATTCTCGAGTTTCTTTGAAGACACATTTTTATAGTCTTCTTTTCCTAATAATTCCTTCAAAACAAGATACAAATTTCTTTTTATCTACAGTCCTGACAGTCTTTTTTTATATGTGCCCTTTTATTGGGGGCTCTTACAGCTCTTATAACAATCCATACATCCATTATATCAAGCACATTTGTACATATGTTGCCATTGTTTTCAAAACATTTCTTTCTTGAGCCCTTGGTATCAGCTACTCTTTTTTCGCTTCCACCCTGTCCTCCCAACCTCATGACCCCTTGATAAATTATAAATTATTACTTTCATATCTTACACTGTCTGCTGTTTCACTTCACCCACATTTCTGCTGTTCGTCTCTGTGTGTGTGTATACGTCAATCATTGTGATCAGTTCCCTCTCTCTCCCCCCACCTTCCACCTACCCTCAGTGTATGGCTACTGAGGGATTTATCTATCCTGGCTTCCGTGTTGAGAGTTCTTTATCTGTACCAGTGCACATACTCCTGTCTAGCTGGGTTTGTATGGTAGAACTGGAGTCATGAGAGTGGGGGGAGGAAACATTAAAGAACTAGAGGAATACTGTATGTTTCATCAGTGCTATACTGCACTCTGGCTGGCTCATCCCTTCCTTGTGACCCTTCTGTGAGGGGATGTCCAATTGTCTACAGATGGGTTTTGGGTCTCCACTCTGACCCACCTCGTTCGCATCGATATTATTATTTGTTTTGGGTCTTCTGATGCCTGATCCTATTGACACCTGGTGATCATACAGGCTGGTGTACTTCTTTCATGTGGGCTTTGTTGCTTCCCTGCTAGATAGCTGCTTGTGTAACTTCATGCCTTTAAGACCCCAGAAGCTATATCTTTTAATAGCCATGAACCCTAAGCATTTTTTCACCACATTTGCTTATATACCCATTTTGACTTTAGCAGTCGGAAAGGTGAACATCACAGAATGCCAGGCTATTAGGACACAGTGTTCTTGCATTGAGGGAGGAGTTGAGTAGAGGCCCAATGTCCATCTGCTACCTTGATACTTAACATATAGATGTGTACATAGACCTATATGACTATCGTTATATATTAATATATTTACATATATACACGCCTATATTTATACCTCTAAAAATGTCTTTTGCCTGCTAAGTCTCCCCTCTATTTCCTTTAACTTTCTTCCTGTCCTGCTATCATGCTTGACCTTCATTTGGTTCTCATTAATTCCTTTCAGCTACATTGCACTTGATCAAACCTCACCAGGCATTCTCTACCCTCTTTGTCGATTTTAGATTTCTTGTTGTTCTCTTGTCCCTGGGTTTGTTGGCTCCCCCTCCCTCTCTCCCCTGTCTCACTGGCACTGTTGGCTTGGGATTGTTTATTTTGCCTATCGTAAATAGATAGACAGGAAAAAAAAAAAAAGGGAAAAAAGGGGGGCCCATATAGTTCCAGGTCTGTTTGCTGACCCTTATGTATGTTTCCTAATCGAGTCGATGAAGTGCCACGCCTTGCCCTCAGAGTCTGAAGTTGATTTTTGGGATTCCTCAGGGAATTCATTGCTTTTCTCCCCTTGCTGCTCTGGTTTGGGGAGGTCAGACCAGGCACAATTCCCGTACTGTGCCTCCAGTGCTATCCCCTGCAGCACTGTGGGTTAGTGAGGGTATGTAGTGTCTGGTGGTGGGGTTGGCCCTACGGGGTTGACACATTCTTTAAAGAGCCATTCAGAAACTTATTTGCCACAGTTTGCCAAAGCACCAAGTAGGTACTCACTGCTTCTTACATGTCTCTTCTACTGTTATAACTCTGTGGGTTTTTTCAGTATATTATACTCGTATATGTGTGTATGTTTATATATAAATTTATAATATATATGTATATATACATAAAGCTAGAACTTTTGCTGTTGCTTACACTTTCCCAAGGAGACTAGGAAAATAAATAGCAACCCAAAATATACCTGTAATCTCAAAGCTAATGAAAAGCTAATACTTAACAAACAGAACTCACACCACACATATATATTTTACAATAGACAATAAAAGCTTACCTGATTGGATAAGCCACGCCGCCCTCCATTTTGAATAGTATTATTTATTTGGTCATCTGAGAGCTTTAATGGTGATTTCTTTGGGCAATTATGTTGGAAATCATTTGATGCTGTTGTTTCTGGCAATATACGGCACCTACTATTCTTCAATTCTATGAGTACAAAGACGGAGAGTCCCATAAATTATTGCAAACAAGGTAAACAGCCTTTCGACATTAAACATTTTGTTTTGAAATAAGTAGTCTCATCCAATGTCACAAATGTTTTTTATGATTTTCATAAAAATAATTTTATTTGGTCAGAATCGTTCTGCATAAGGTCATGTTTTGTACTAATGACTTGCCTGAGGAAGTTTAAAATGCATGTGAAAAATATTTTCAAAAAACCTTTGAAAACCCCTTGTATACAAGAGACGTCTATGGTGATATCACCCTGATACACAGAAACCTTATGTTTCAATTTTAATGTAAATTATTTTGATTTAATTAAAATTGTGTACAGAAACTAACTTATGTAGTACATATGTTCAACAAATACTCAAGGTAAAATTCTAGATAAGTTAAAAAGTACTCATAAGTATCAAAATGTTCGATTTCTAGAAGCTGTACTTGAAGAGAACAATGGGTAGTCCCTACTCTGAAGAAAATCACAATATAATGGAGGAAGATTACATTATAATGGGTCATTTATCATTGATTCTGTTAATTAAAATAAGTAAACTAGACACGTTAGGAGGAATATTATGATATATCGGTTACAGCACTAATATGGAAACTAAAATTTATAAATAATTGAGACACACAATCACTTCAAGTTATTATGAATTGGCACTTTATCGAATCTTAGTAGTTTAAAGTTAGACATAGTTTTATGTTATTTTATAGTTATTTTTGTCTTGGAGTGAGTAATCAATGGTAATAACAACAACAATAATTACTCCCTTGTGTTGTCAAGGTTTCTCAAGCTACTTAGTGTCTAACAATTTCACACACAAAAATCTAATGAATCAAACTAGAAAAATACAACTACAATAAAATACAGTAATATCTGTTATAAACTGATATCAAGAGGAACTATTTTATCTTATCCGTCTTACACATCTAATAATTGACACAGGTGCTAATTCCTAACATGAAGGTGCTATCCGTTTCTAGAATGTGGACATAGTTGGTATGTAAAATATTTACCTTAATATTTAAAATTTGTATTTTTAAACTCCACTTGCTACTTGTTTTCTCAAACATTTTACCAGTATTATTCACATTTAAGCTTATATTTCCCAAAAGTACTGTTCTAAGTAGAAATAAAGAGGGAAACAAATAAATCTTAGACTAAAGATTAACTAACGATTGAAAATAAAATGTATATTTTAAAGACTTTGTTATTTAGAAGTAAAAAAGTAGAGAGCAGGTGCTGCAGTACCAGAATGGTCTAGCATTGACAATAAGCAATATGCCTAATTTAAAGGAAATAGTATGACTTTTGGTAAAATGAAGGATTAAGGAATTGGAGCATAAGTAGTAAAAAGTTAATTTTCACAGCTCTGGGTAAGAATTCATCTACATATTTAATGCATCCCTTTTCTGCAAACATAAGCAAAGTATTTGGGAGGGATAAAGTTGGAAAGTGGTTGGGGGGGGGGAGAAGGAGGCAGATATTATGGGAGGATACAGAAGTAGATTTATATCCAACATAGTGCTTTGACGCTAGAATTTGAAGTTCTACAAAGTCCAAAGTTAAAGTAAAATGAATAAAATGTATACAACATATTCCAGTAGCTTTTACTCATCTGTGCCATCCAGTAGGGCTGCTAAGTGTTCAGACTTGTTTTCTGGGTGGGGTGGCATGGGAAGGAGACTAAACTGTGACAGTTGCAGAGTTGGCACAGAAAACAGATCTGCCAGCTCTCTTTATAGCAACAGTCACTCAAAAGGAGTATGTCATTTGTTAGAGAACCATCATCAATAGAAACTGCTTTTGACTTTTAGTAAAAATGAAATTTGAAAAATATAGGAATCTTTCATAAAGGTAAGCTCGAGTTAGCATTAAAAGATCAAAAAGAACACTTAGCATACTTGAAATTGAAAGAACTCAAGGAAAAATTCAAGCAATATTGAAAGATTCTATGGACAAAATATTGAACGATGCAGGAAGCATCAAAAGGAGATAGGAAGAACACACAGTCACTGCACCTAAAAGAACCAGTCAGCATTCCACCATTTCAGGAGTTAGCACATGAGCAAGAACCAATGGTGCTGAAGGAAAAGTTCAAACTTTAATGAAAGCATTGGCCAAAACCAAGGTTCCAGGAATTGACAGAATACAACCGAAATGTTTCAACAAACTGATTAAGCACTAGACATACTCATCTATGTCATTAAATTTAGAAGAAAGTTTCTCTGCTGAGCAGAAATCCATATTTTTACCCATTCCAAAGAAAGGTTACCCAACAGAATTCTCAAATTATACAATATCATTTATATCAGATGCAAGTAAAATTGTGTTAACAATTATCCAGCAATGGTTGCAGCAATAAACTGAAAGGGAACTGCTAGAGGTGCAAGCCAGATTCAGAAGAGAACAAGAACAAGGGACTGTGATTGCTGATGTTAGAGAGATCCTAGCTGAAAGCAGAGACCAGAAAGATGTATACTTGCATTTTATTGACTATGCTAAGGCATTTGATTGTGGGCATAACCTTGAGAAAAGGGATCCAAAAGCTGAACATGGATCAAGTGGCAGTTGTGTGAATAAAACATGGGATTAACTACATGGTTTAAATCAACAAAGGTGTGTGTGTCAGGGTTGTGTCCTCTCATCATCTTATTCAATCTGTATGCTGAGAAAATCATCAGAGAAGCTGAAGTATATGAAGAAGAATGCAGCATCAAATTCGAAGGCTTAGTAACAACCTGTGGTATGCATATGACACCACCTTGCTTGCTGGAAGTGAGGAGGACTTGAAGCACTTGCTGATGAAGATCAAGGGTTGCAGCTTTCAGTATGGCAGATTACAACTCAATGTAAAGAAGGCCAAACTCCTCACAAATAGGGCAGTATGCAACATCATGACAAATGGGGAAAGAATGAAGTTGTCAAGGATTTAATTTTGCTTGGATCCACAACCAAGGCTCATGGAAACAGCAGTCAAAGGACGCACTGCATTAGATAAATCTGCTGCGCAAGACCTGTAAAGTGGTGGAAAGCAAGGAGGCTCCTTTGAGGATGAAGGCATGCCTGACCCATGGTATTTTCCACTGCCTAATATACATGTGCAAGTTGGGCACTGAATAAAGAAAACCAAAGAAAAATCAATGCATTTGAATTATGATACTGGTGAAGAACATTGAAAGTACCTTGGGCTGCTATAAGAACAAATTGATCTGTCTTGGAAGAAGTACAGTCAGAGTACTCCTTAGAGCAGTGGTTCCTCAACCTTCCTAATGTCACGACCCTTTAATACAGTTCCTCATGTTTTGGTGAGCCCATATGTGGGCGTATCTGCATGTGGGCAGACCCACCTGGACATGGATAGAGGAGCGGTGTCTCGGTTCCTAAGATCATCAGAAATATGGTCTTAGGCGACCCCTGTGAAAGAGTTGTTAGATCCCCAAAGGGGTCATGACCCACAGGTTGAGAACTGCTGTCTTAGAGGCAAGTATGTCACCATTCTTGTATTAAGGAATTTTGACATGTTGTCAGGAGAGAGCAGTCCTTGGAGAAGAGCATCATGCTTGGTAAAACAGAGGGGTGGTGAGAAAGAGGACAGCCCTTGATAGGATGGATTGACACAGCGGTTGCAACAATGGGCTGTTGGAACAATTGTGAAGATGGTACAGAAACGAGTATTGTTTTTTATCTGTCATATACATAGTCACTATGAGTCAGAATTAACTCGATGGCACCTAACACCAATAAAAATAAAGGTTTGGGCTAGGTGGTAACCTAAGTACCATGGGCCTATTAATCAGAAAGAACAATCATATTTCACTGATGTTTATCAGTGCTCTTTGAATTTGGATTAATTAAAACATGGTATTTACTGTCAGTTGGATAGTGAGTGATCAGTCTGTATTTTCCTTTATGGTTAGTAAAACAGGAATCTTAAGTCAGTATGAACCAAAGAAGAGAATACTATTTTACACAATATGAACAGTAAACAAGGAGTGCACATATAAAAACTACAACGAGGGGGTACCCAAAAAACCCCAGATGTGATGTGAGGGGCATAGTGCATTTGGAGTTCGTTCCACCAGGTCAAACTGTTAATCAAGTTTTCTATTTATAGGTTCTGAAAGGATTTTGTAGTAGTGTGTACCCAAAAAGGCCTAATTTGTGGCAGACGGGACTGGTTTTGCCACCACAACAATGCACATGCTCACGCAGCCAGCTCAGTGCGCCAATTTTTGGCAAAACAAAGCATGCTTCTCTTGTCCCACACACTTTACTCACCTGGCCTGGTTCCTTGCGACTTCTTTTTGTTTCTGGAAATAAAGAGGGACATGAAAGGACAGCGATTTGACGACATAGAAGAGGTGAAGAAAAAAACGAGGGAGGTGCTGTCAGCCATGCAAACAGATGAGTTTGAAAAATGTTTCCCAGAATGGAATCGCAGATTTGACAAATGTATTCAATGTAATGGAGAATACTTTGAAGGTGATAAGGTTGTTTTGTAAAAAAAAAAATGTAACTACGTAGCTTTGAAAAAAAAATTCAGGTTGTCTTTTTGGGTACCCCCTTGTATACCCACAGAAGAATAATGGACAAACATACCAAAATTATCAGAATCACGGTTATAAGTGGTGCTGGCTTTCTGGAGGACATCTGTTTGAGTTTTTCGTGCATTATTTTTCACAGATTTGAGATTATCATGGGCTGATTTTCCAATTTTCTGTTTTTTTCTGGTTTTCTTTTGATTTTCACAAGCCCTAAAAACAATAATACAATTCACACTCTAACATTAATTCTTATAAACAAATTAAACTACTAAAGCCACAAATAACTAATAAAGCCTCCTGGGATAATGCTTCCCCCAACCCAGCAATAATTATATTATTTAATTCATCATGTTATTTAATTCTTTATAGCTACAAGCACACCCCATTAAAAGACTCAGGTATCACATCTTAATTGAAACAACTCAAACAGACCCTTCTTAAGTGTTTCCTATTCTGTGCTCTTGTAATTCATATTATAAGTTAGGGTCAGAAAACTATGGGATAAATAAGGTTTTATTGGCACCCAGTCATATTCATGTGTTTATGTAACGTTCATGACTACTGTTCCAACACAAAGAACTAAAGTGGTTCAATAAAGGTAGTGTAATATTTACAGACAGGCCAACAAAAATATTTACTATCTCTAGCCTTGTAGATAAAAAAAGTTGCCAGCATCTATTTATAAGTTATTACATTGTAGCATGTTTACCTTATTCATTTCTCTGTATACCCTATAAGATCCTTAGGGCCAGATTGAATCCATTCTTTATTTCCCCAGTACCAACCAGTGTCTGCCAAGGAGTTGACTCAGTAATGACTACATGCTCGGGAACATTAGAGTAGTGAACAGCTACATGTCACTTGAATGGTAGATGACTGAAGGTGACTCACTAAAATATGTTAAAGGTTGTTTTTTTTAAGGTTGATTCCATAAGATACATTTTCTAGTAAGATATTGCCTATTGAAAGTATTTTCAGGTAAAAGTGAGGTTCAAAATGAGCATTTCTAAAACAAAAATTGAAACCACTTTATATTAGTTTTACAAGGGATCTTCATCTCAACATTTTGAAGCCCCCTTATATACATTCCTTGTATATATTATACATTTGAAAAAGTTCACTAAACTGTATACATATTTTATGTTCTAAAAATGAACATTATATAATAAAATTAAAAGACACTTTACCTTAATTGTTCTAGAAAATTATCAATGTGCTCTTTCCAATTTCTTGGAAATCCATACATAAACTTCCTTGTGAGATAGTTAGGATAACCTATATAACAGTGAACAACAACAAAAAATGTGAAGATATTATATACCTTACCTTCTAAAGAAGTACCACTAATTGATTAACTTACATATGTATTTATGAATTCATGAAATCACACATGTACTTATTAATTCCTATGTGTCACGTACTGTCATAAATATTAAGGATTCCACAATTAACAAAAGACAAAAAAATTCCTGCATACATGTAACCTTACTTCTACTGTAAAACAATATAAACCAATCTGTGTTATGGGGGAAAAAATTTCATAATGTAAGAGGATAAGGATACAATATGTTAATGCGGGAGAAATGAACCAAAGATAGAAAATTATTTTAGAATGGCTAGTGAGGATTTTTCACTGAAGTGTCACTTGGGCTCAACACGGAAGAACTTGAGGGAAGGAGTGAGGCAGATGGAACAGCAAGTGATTCAAATGCATCGATGTTTCTGATGTCCTCCGTATTCACTGTCCAACTTTCATGTACATATGAGGAGACTGAAAATACTCTGGCTGGCTCAGGTGCACCTTAGTCTTTAAAATGGCATCTTTCCATTTTAACACTTTAGAGAGGTCTTTCACATCATATTTGCCCAATGCAATGCATCATTTAATCCTGACTAATGTTCCATGAGTATTGACAGTTAGTGCAAGTAAAATGAAATCCTTGACAAATGAATTCTTCCTCCGGTTTTCATGGTGTCACTTACTGGTCCAGTTGTGAGGATTTTTCTTTGTTGAAGTATAATCTACATTGAAGGCTGTAGTCTTCGATCTTCATCACTGCTTCAAGTCCTCTTCATTTTTGGCAAGCAAGGTTGTATTTACAGGTTGTTAACAAGTATTCCTCATAACCTGCTGTTGCATTCTTCTTCACATAGTCCAGCTTGTTAGATTATTTGGCTCAGTATACAGATTGAATACATATGGTGAAAAGGATAAAATCCTGATGTATAACTTCCCTGACTTTAAATCACGTAGTATCCACTGTTGCTATTCAAACAAACTAATTCTGAGTCTGCATGAGCACAACTGAAATGTTCTGAAATTATCATTCTTTACAAAGTTGCCTAAAAAATGCTAACACCCACATGGTGGAATACCTTTGCATAGCAATAAAACCAAGGTAAAAATCTATCATACTTTTTCTCTCTCTCTGTATTCTCTGCTTTTAGGCGAAATCCATGAGACATCAGCAAAGATATCCCCAATTATAAGTCTGGCTTGAATTTCTGGCAGTTCCCTATGGATGTACTGCTACAATTACTCATAAATAAATAGTATTTCACGAGAGAATTTCTGTAATCACAGAAATTATTTTAAACTACCAAAAACAACAACAAAAAGCTGTTGTTCTCAGGTTGATTCAAGCCCCTAATTGGACAGAGTAGAACAGCCCCTTATCAACAAGGCTGTAATCTTTATGGAAGCAGACTGCCAATCTGTTTCTCCTAGAGCAGCTGGTAGATCGTAGAAGGCTGACCTTTGGGCTATCACCCAAGTGTTTAACTCCTGCCTGTACCACCAGCATTTCTAAATAATCCTAGTAGTAATGATTTAAATCAGAAACAAATTATCAAAGCTTATATAATGTTGTCAACACTATTTGTTATTTTTTGTTGATTCATAATTTTAAGATACATAATGAAAAAGTTAAAAACAACCCCAAAACCCGAAACTAGAAACTAGCTTAATTGCTTTACTTATTAACAAACATTATCAATTAATGATAGTACACAGGAGAGGGGGAGGCAGGGGAAAGGAAGGGGGGGATGTCAACCAACCCAGGGACAAGGGAACAACAAGTGATCTAAAATCAATGGCGAAGAGAGTACAGGATGCCTGATGGGGCTAGATCAAGGGCAATGTAGCCAAGAGGAATTAATGAAACCTGAATGAAGGCCGAACATGATAGTGGGACAAGAGGAAAGTAAAAGGAAATAGAGAAAAGAACTAGGAGGCAAAGGACATTTATAGAGGTCTAAATACAGGTATGTACATACAGAAATATATTTATATATTACAATGGGGAAATAGATCTATGTACATATATTTATATGTTAAGTATTTAAGTAGCAGATCGACATTGGGTCTCTACTCAAGTCCTCCCTCAACGCAAGAACACTTTATTCTAATAACCTGGCATTCTGTGATGCTCACTTTCCCGACAGGACCGCTGAAGACAAAATGGGTGCATAAGCTAATGTGGTGAAGAAAGATGATGGTGCCCAGCTATCAAAAGATATAGCATCTGGGGTCTTAAAGGCTAAATAAGCGGCCATCTAGCTGAGAAGCAACAAAGCCCATATGGAAGAAGCACACCAGCCTGTGTGATCATGAGGTGTCGATGGGATCAGGTATCAGGCATCAAAGACCCAGAACAAAAAAGCATATCAATGTGAATGACGGGGAGTGCAGAGTGGAGACCCAAAACCTCTCTGTAGACAGCTGGACATTCCCTTGTAGAAGGGTCAATAAAGGAGAGAAGAGCTAGTCAGGATGCGGTGTAGCAACGATGAAGCATAGAACTTTCCTCTAGTTCTTTAATGCTTCCTCCCCACCTCAACCCCCCACTATCATGACCCCAAATCCAGCTTGATCAAAGCATGTACACTGGTACAAGTAAGAGCTGGAAACAGGGAATCTAGGACAGATAAACCCCTCAGGACGAATAATGAAAGTAGTGATACCAGGAGGGTTAGGGGAAACCAATGACAATTATCTACATATAACCCCCTCCCAGGTGGGCAGAAAACAGAAAAGTGGGTGAAGGGAGATAGCGGTCAGTATAAGACATGAAAAAAATAAATAAAACACATTATAAATTATCAAGGGTTCATGAGGTAGGGAGGGAAATGAGCTGATACCAAGGGCTCAAGTAGAAAGAAAATGTTTTAAAAATGATGATGACAACATATGTACAAATGTGCCTGACACAATGGATGTATGTATGGATTGTGATAAGAGCTGTACGAACCCCCGATAAATGATTAAAAAAAATAACGCTAATAATTAATTACCTGCTGCTTTCATGGAAATCTGGTCTATCATTCCATTTAATATATAAATATTGCCTGACAAAGTCCTGAGTGTGTTGTGGTCAATTCGTTCAATAATTATATTACTGTGCCAATATATGTCAGTGAAATCTCTAGGAGAAAAAATAACTCAGTTATGGCCAAAACATTCACATTTTACCAGCAGTTACAATGTAAAATTTTTAAAAAGTTTTATTGGCACTTTATTCACATCATACATTTCAATAATTGAATCATATCAAGAAGAGTTGTACAGTTATCACACCAATTAATTCTAGAGCATTTTCTTCTTCATTTTATTCATGTAACTATTTTTTAAATAAACAAAAATATACACAACAAAACATTCTCCAATTCAACAACTTCAACATGTTTAATTCAGTGCCACTGATTATACTCTTTGTTTTGCCCAACCATTATTATCTTTTTCCAAATTATTCTACCACCATTAACATAAACTCAACGCCTCCTAAGTAAAAACTACTCCTCCACCCATGCTAACCATTGGTCAAGTTTGGTTTCCTTTTTTAAAAAAACTTTTCTAGATATAATATTCACATATCTTAGTTAAATTGCCTTTAAAAAGCTGTATATACATAATCACAATCAGTTCTAATGCTTCCTCCCATCTCCCACATTCATTGTTTGCTTCCCAAATCCTCTCCCCCTCCCCAATAAACCATTGCATCAGTTATTGTTTCTACACATCCATTCGTTTTGTGCGTCTCAAACTGGTAAACTCAATAGAAACAACAGAAAACCAAAACCAGACCAAACAGCAAAAAGAAAATAGTAATATAAATTAGAGTGAGGGAAAAATCATACCATAAATATTTAGAAAGTCAGAGAGGAAATTTCTGTAGTGGAATAAAGCAAGAAATATTTGAGTAGAGCAAATTCTTATTGGGCCAAGAGGGAGATTCACTAACCAAGTATATTATACCGTGATTTGATCCACCATAATCAAGTTTACAATCATCTGTCTGAGAATAAAACTTTTTGAGCCTCTCTCCTGTGACTCGAGGTGATCCAGAGGCTTAATCTGACTCGATAGTATGCAGATGATTTTTGAGTTCCCACTGTCTTCCATAGCCTCCTACATATTGGGTGTTCACAATTTAAGCTCTGATACTTTTCCCTTCATCATATTTGAATTTTGTTATTGTCATCTTTGGATCACACAGGCTGGTGTGCTTCTTTGATGTTGACTTAGTTCAAGGTGGACTTATATGATTGATGCCTCACTTAGGCATCACTTATTTGATGGCTGCTTGTTTAAACACAAGCCTTTAAGACCCCAGACACTATTCCAATTGATAGCTGGGCACCATCTGTTTTCTTCACCATATTTTGCTGTAGTATCTTTATCTTCAGTGATCTCTTCATGAAGGCGAGCATGAAGCAGGGCCATGTTATAAGCACTAACTGTTCTTGGATTGGGGCTAGAAGTCAGTGGGAGCCCAGAATCCATCTGACAATGTAATTTTTATGTATACCCACAACCACTGAGTTGATTCTGTCATAGTAACCCTATACAAGGTTTCCAAGCCTATAAATCTTCATGAGAGCAGATAGCCTCATCCTTTTCTCATAAGTAGTTGATGGGTTTGAACTGCTGACCTTGTGATTAGTAGCCCAACACTTACCTTTAATGCAGTGGTTCTCAACCTTGCTAATGCCGCGACCCTTTAATACAGTTCCTCATGTTGTAGTGACCCCCCAACCATAAAATTATTTTCGTTACTACTTCATCACTGTAATTTTGCTACTGTTATGAGTCAAGAGACCCCTGTGAAAGGGTCATTTGACCCCCAAAGGGGTTGTGACCACAGGTTGAGAACCACTGCATTAGTGCCACCAAGGCTCATTTATTTAAGTATGAAACTTTGTATGTTTTACTCTAATTAAACTAAAAATACAATTTCAGAATATCCGAGGGCCAAAGATTTCAACAAACTCAAACTGTTGGCTAATGTCACCCAGTATTTCGAAGAAATTATACTGTCACCAAACCATGTGACTGCTATAAAATATATCATTAGCATATAAACAGGCTTCCTCAAAATTTGTGATACTACAATTTTAGCCTACCTAATATTAAACTATCAAATAATTATTTCTCTCTTTTCTTAGGGGTTTTACTGCTAAGATTTTATGCAATTATGTCATGTGAATTCATCTAACCACATATTCTTTTACCCTCATTACACATTGGTATGTGATCTACACGGTCGAGTTTCAAAGCCACTAGCAGCTCTCTGGGAGAATGCCCAAGCTTATCACCCCCATACACAGTTACAGCCTCAGAAACTCACGGGATAGTTCTACCCTGTCCTATAGTGTTGCTATGAGTCAATATTGACTCATTGGCAGCGAACCGTTTGAGTTGATTTAGTCAAATGTTTTTAGCTTCTAGTTTGTGAAGTGAAAAAGAGAGGTAATACAAAATCTACTCTTCATACTTCTTTAAATGAAGTTAAGAATAAACATAAAACTGTAAAATATTAAGATGCACTAGATAAATGTCAAACAATTTTCATTCATGATATAAATAATAATAATATATCTTCTAAATATAAGCATAATTAAGAAAGGCATTCTGAAATTTAATTTGGTCAACTGGCCTTAAATTTATACATTCAAAACGCACACATTAAAGGAATACATTATATTTTAATATAATATTACTTCTCTTCCATTCTATTATCTGCTTTACTTACAAAGCTGTATAGCACTTTAAAATCACTGCTCCAAGTCTTACAGATATTAACTAATTTAATTCTGAAAAGAACTCACAAAGTAGGCAACATCATTACCACCACTGCACACATGAGAAAACTGAGACTGACTAAAAGAATCCAAGCGACAAGGCAAAGCCCTAAGGACAGTAGTAAGCAGCAGCAACGGGAACAGAACGAAGGTAATCTACATTCAGGAAATCGGTATAAAGAGAAAGAAGCAGTAAGTACCACAGATTTCATATAGTTAACTGATGCAGTTCCAACTAAGTACCTTGACAGTGAAACTCTGTGATTTTCTTACAATCTATTATTTCAAAAATTTTACCACTAAGAAAGTTATTTTGAAAAACAGGAAGTTGTACTTAATAAAATAGTAAAAGTAGGCAAGACCTGCTTAACCTGATGATACCCTCACTTTAGGGAGATCAGAATGTACCAATGACTAATCAATATGTAACTATACAGAAAAGTTAAAGACCATTTTATTCATTTTCTGGATCATTAATTTATACCTGCTGGTTCCAGTTTAGATGGGAGGCTTTGTAACTATGTCAATGTACTAAAAATTAACTGATCATACATAACTGAGCAGGTAATATTAGTCTACTCTCTAGCACCTTTTAAAAGAATAAAATACATACAAATTTGAGCTCTCATAATTTTTTAAAAAGCTTTAATAGGAAAAAACAAGAAAGCTGGTAATAATCAAGATGGTAAGGACATGCATTCTCATTTTACCTTTCTGTATTCAGTTAATAACTTAATTTATAAAATGTTCACTTTGTTATTTCCAGTGCATCTTTTAGGCACTAATATAAAACAGCTCTTTATTTTACTATAGGTTTTATTTTTTTTAAATTGAATGGTATACTTACATTAATTTTCCTTCTACAATTATAGCAGTGTTATTATTGATGATTTTAATCATCCATTCCTGTAGTTGGATTACCTAATCAAGCATAAAACAAGCACACATTTCTTTTATTATAGTATAAGCATTACAAATTCAGTTTACATAAAAGCATCTCATGCAAGTATCCCAAATAATTCTTTAACACCCATCTATACAAGAATCACATTGTATCTTAAGTAACAACAAAGAAAAACTTTTGTATAAAAATGAAACCAAAAATTGAAGGAGGAAAATGATCAAAGTGCAATAATCCAAAAGCAATTACACTTCAACTACTCTTATCACCATAAAAAAATTCTTTTAACTCAATCATTAGAAAAACATTCACCTAAAACCCCAAGCACCTGTTGAAACATCAAGTCCTACAAAGACCCAGCAACCTGGAGGGGAAAAAAGTCAGTTATATACATTTTTGTTCCTAAAAAGTCGGTGTATTTTTTCACTTTTTGTACTAGACTTGGAGTTTCATTTCAAATATTTATAAATTCTAAAGGTGATCGTAGTGACCTATCACTAACAATGTTCTATTTCAAAGCCAACATCTAATAGAATTATTTTAGTACATGTAAAATGATTGTGAAGGAAACATTTCTATGAACATCTATGTAAAAAAATGATATTTTACAACATTGCACTGTTTCTCATGAGAAACTAACTAAAGATTCATAGAACTAATTGGATGGCCATTTACAAATAAAATTATAAATGTATTTAGAGACAAATTCTCTAGTTTTTTATTGAGTTGGGGAAAGATGCTAAAATGGGAGGGTACTCTCTATGTTCATTTAAAGTAATTAATATAGGACTTGGGGAAGGGAGCAAAAAAGTACTATGTATCTTTTTTTCCTGCTCCCACATATGGAACTATCTGAGATGGATTAAAGAATCCGTCAAACAGAGATGGTATAAATAAAAGCTAACACTAAGGCAATGTTCTAAGCACGTCAGAACCAACTCATATTATCCTGAGGTATTTTCATTGTAAAGATAAATCCTTGTAATGTCTAGCTAAATAATTTGTCCATGTCAAACAGTTAATGATAAAGATGGGCTACAAATTTGAAAATTCTAGATCTATAACCCCTTTACCATACTGCTTATGTAAAATAAGAATTCATTTTCATTAAGCAAATACGGTATTCACGGAGTTCCCCTTGCCAAGCTCTGCCATAAGGTGTAGCGACTCTGTGAGAAACCAAACAGCTGTCCTTGGAGCAAACATTCTAATGTGCTTATTATAGGGGGAGTGGACAGGGTGAGAAGAGATTGGAATCCAAACAAATAAATAATGCCAAGTAGTGGCAATTACTTATAAAAATATACTGTGCTACGATAACTCGGGGTGCTTTTTGAGATAGGGCAGTGAGGGAAGGTCTCAGAACAGAGTACTGAATGAAGTGAAGGATGAGTGAGTAGATTCTTTTGGGTAGAGGAAACAAGTAGGTACCTTGAAGGCACAGTAGCTTCAAAGGAATAAGCATGAGGAATGATATACTTAAAAATTAGAAATCTCCTAGGACTGTAGTATATAGAATCCAGGGAAACATAGTAAAAGCTTGTCCCTCCATCTGCACCCCAACCTCCTCCTCAGATTAGAAATTACTGGACGATTTTGAGCAGGAGTGTTTTGTCTAATTAGTATTCTCTACTCCTCCAGGTTCTAATATTCATTGCAATGGCTATATACAACTCACAGATAATATCAATGATTGAAGCGTTTATTAAGGAAGTGACAAGGTGTAAAGCATCTTTTCAGATGTAAGAGAAGAAACATGGCTGTCCCAATAGCATCCTAAAATTGACACACAATCCAAACAATGGCTACCAAGAGGTAGAAATGTTCCAACTAAAGCAAAAGCAAACTGGTCAGAGGTAAAAGTCACAGCAACAGTTGTTTTGGACACTCACAGCATTTTGGTTGTTGAATTTGTGGAGAGCCAAGGGATGGCAACATCTGCTTATTACGAGAGAATTTGAGAAATTTAGCCAAACCCTTGGGAAAAATATGCCCAGGCAAGTTTTACCAAAGGGTCCTTCTCCACCATGGCAATACTCCTGCACACTCTTCTGGTCTTAACTCATGATCTCTATTTTACTTCACTAAGATCTAATATCCATTGCAGTGGCTACACAGAACCTATAGACAGCAATCATGGTTCAAGGGTTCATTAAAGAAGTTAACAGGCTGTAATGCTAGTGAGAAATGTTCAAGATTGCCTGCTAATAAATGCCCAAAGGGGCATATCACTCTGCTGACTCAACCCAAAGTTATTCATCTCAAACTCTGTGGGTCAGCAAACTCAGCTAATTAAGTGCCCAAAAGAGGCACCCCACTCTAGTAAGCCTCAGCCCAAAGGTACTCAGCTCCACTTGCATAGGTCAACAAACCCAGCTCCCCCAATTAAGTGTCCAGAGGCACTCCACTTTACAAACCAGCCTCCTCCACAAAAGCACTCTGCTTTACTTGCTCTGTGGGGTGGGAAGCTCAACATTCCATTCCATGCTTCGGTTTCTAGTTCTGCTACTGTTCCTCTGATGTTAACAGCTGTCTTCTGAATCCTGGAAGTTCATTGCACAGGGATCTCAGGTCCAAAGGGTGCTCCCCTCTTGGCTCATGCTGGTAATGAATGAGATCCCTCTTCCTGCTCCTGAGAGGGCTCACTTTATATGCAGGAAAATAGCATTTGAGGGAATCCTATTCACATTTACTCATAGATGAATCCTATCAGTATCTTTCCCCACCATCTTACCAGACCCATGCAGGAAAAGGTCATTTAGTGGGAGTTAGACTTTGGCTTTGAAGTTGTTGGTACAATACTTCAATTTCTTCATAACTAGTTTTTGTGGTTGGTGCATAAATTTGAATAATAGTTGTATTGACTGGGTTTCCTTGAAGGCAGATAGATATAATCCGATCACATACAACATTGTACTTCATGATGGATTTAGCAAGATCCTTTATGACATAAGGCCATTCCTCTTGATTGTGTTATCCCCAGCATAGTAAATCATATGATTTTCTGATTCAATATGGCCGATACCAGTCCATTTCAGCTCACTAATGCCTAAAATATTGACATTAATGCATTCCATTTAATTTTTGACCACTTCCAATTTTCTTAATATCATACATCACACATTTCAAGTTCCAATCATTAGAAGAAATGTTTGACTGTCCCTCTTTGGTAAATTAACCTAAAACCTGGGTAGCATAAATTATACCAGGAAAATACTTAAATCTTCAGAAGCTGTAATTACTTTCTATTTCTGCTTTGGATGGTGAACTGAAATTTCCTAATATGCCTCTTCTATCCATGTCTCTGTTATTCTCACCATATGATTAGGTGGGACTATACAAACAGGCTATGTGAAACACTAAAGTGTAGGAGTTGGTTAGTTTTGATTGTCATTCCCCTGGCTATAAGGAAGCTATCTCAGAAGCAAGAACAGAGAATTCCTGAGACCATTTAGGAAGAATAGTCACTATAGTAGAAAATAGTCGAGATTCTTCCTGCCTGAAATGACAGAGGTAGTAGAAGCCATGCCACATCAAGACCAGACAAGGCAAGGAGACCATGAGACAGAGCAGAGCCAAGACTATGAGACAGAGCAGTGGGTGGGTTTCCTGGTTCAAGAAGGCACAGAGGCCAATGAACCACACAGATGAAGAATAAAGACAGACTTGGCTGCTGAGAAGTGTTGCTGTATCCTTAATGTTTAATGCTCCTGGCCTGTGATAACCTGTTGACTTCCCCAATTAAAAAAAAAAAATCTCACTACCATCGAGTCAATTCTGATGCGGAGACTCTATGGAACAGGGTAAAACTGCCACTGTGTGTTTCTGAGACTACAACTCTTTACATGAGTGGAATGTGCTGTCTATCTCCCTCAGAACTGGCTGGGGGTTTCAAACTACTTCGATTAGAAGCCCAACTCTTAACCTCTATGACACCAGGGCCCCTGACTTCCCTAATAAAGCTCCTTAATTGTGAGTATAGCTGTTAGCTCTGTGTGGTCATTACAACTAATTACTGAATCCAGCAAAGACGTAGAGTGCTGTGGGAGGAACAGTTGGAGTCAGAATAGGGTACATGTAGGATGGATGGTGGAGGTATGCCTGACCTCTGCCTTGTGCAGTTGGTCTTGGGTTAGTGTGCAGTTGGAGTCTCCTCCTTCGTGTAGCCCAAGGAAGTCAGTAATGGCTTTGGTGCTGTTTTCTCATTCTATTAATCCACTCTCTGGCACTGAGTAGATTCCACCTCACCGTGACACTATAGGATTTCCAAGGCTGTACATCTTTACAGGAGCAGATACCCTCATCTTTCTCCCTTAGAGCAGCTGGTGGGCTTGAAATATCCACCTTGTGGTTAGCAGTGAAACATTTACCCAAAACCACCACAAGAGTTCCTTTATTAACATATCCCAAGAATCAGGGGAAAAAATAAAGATAATTAAGAGCAAGAAGGAAGTCAGTGTTTATATCCAAAGGAATATATGAATTATTTAAATCTATACATCAAAATAAGACTCAATAACTAGGCCTTAGTTTCAACCATGTCTCTTTTCACTATAAGTGTTGATTTCGGAGGCCATCCTACCTGTACATTAAATAATAATAAAAACGACAATGAAGCAACTGTTAGAAATACGGAAAAAGCTCAAGCTCTTTAAAGCCAGGGGTAAAAGTAGAAATAAATATCTGCCTTCAATATTTCCTTACCTTGTATTTTTTAACTCCGTTTGAAATAATTTGAAATATACCTGGAGGAGAAGGGTTTTTCTTTCTTTCAGATCTTCGAGGTATCGTTATATTGTATGTTGGAGTTGCAAGCACAATTTTACACGTATTGTTCAAAGAACACAGAGGAGCTGTTTCTTTTGACGTAGTGTTTTTATTTCTTTCCTTGGTTTCTTCTTGTAAAGTCCCTTCTGTTGTCACCATGCTCTTGGAAACTTTTAATTGAGTGCTATTATTAGCAGGAACGCAGTTACTACTGAGAGTCTCAAAAGCAGTATTTTGGGATTTTTCATTGGCAGCATCAATGCTTTTTAAAATATAAGTGTCCTTTGAGGACTTTGTGGTTGTAGCTGTATTCTCTAATGAGTGAGTACTACCTAATGAGACTCCTGCAGCTGAGATATGGTCATGCTTTTGCTTCAGAATCAGAAGCTCTGCAAAAAACAAACAACAAAATAAAAGCTAAAGAAGGGCCACATTAAATTTACAAAAGAGACATAAGACAATCAGTTGAAAATTGTGTATATTAAAAAGACGTCCTCAGGTTAGGAATGTTCTACCCTCCTGTGTAATCTTTCTCTGATTGCTCTTGGCTTTTAAGATCCACAATGTTTATTCCCCACACAGAAATTATCTAGAATGGAGAACAATACATTCGAGTTAAAGAATTCACACAACAAAAAGCCCTTTCCATAAGTTAAATTAGGCAAGGATCATTTTTTAAACTAATATTGAATCTTGTTTGATTGGCAGGAAAATATTGTTTCTGAAATTTTATTTAAAGAAATTGAGTTGTATTAGTTACTCAAATTTTTTAAAATGTATTTTAGAACCTTGGAATTGATATACTTAGGTTTAGTAATAGTAAGACCAGCATAGTGTACCTTTTAATACATATAACATTTAGATACTTTTCCCTTTTAGTATCCTCTTATGTCTTCATCCCATGATGAATACCTATTATGCTGGGGAAGAACTTTGTTTTAAAACTTTTTCATGCTACAACTTGCTAGCTCTAGGGTAAAGTCTACTACTAAACTTGGAAGCCTGACAATGTGAAATATAACTCTGGTGCATCCAAAAATCAGAAAAGGATCTCTGAACACATCAAATGGCTTTTATGGGTCCATTTCCTCCTTTATAAAATGAAAGGTGTTACTTAAGATTATATACAAAATGTTTCTTAAAAATTCTGCTTCTGGTTACTAGAAACTCTAAAGCATGAATAACTGCATAGTTGTAAATTCTACTTTGTGTGTTAGGCAGGGTTCTCTAGAGAAACAAAACCAGGACACTTATGATCATTGTGGTAGTTATATAATTTCGTGTCAACTTGGTAAGAATGAAGGGTGGAATCTAGCTTGTCAATCAGGTCACAGCTTGGTGATCCCTCCTTGTGGGCGTGGCCTTCTCAAAAGGATTCTGGGACTTCCTCTCTTGATTCTGCCATCAGAGATGGGCCTCTCTCTCTCTCAGCTTCACATTCCTGTTGACAAGCCACATGGAGCCACACTGATGGCTGCCAGAGTCCTGGAGATGCATCCACTGCCATGGGACCCATAGGACTTTCCATCCACTGGCCTGTGAGCTTCCTGCATTCCGCATCATTGTATGTGCTGCGTAAGTCTGAAGATTTATGGGCTAATATCGAATTTATGGACTTGATCTGGACTGAACTGGGATGTTCTATTGATGCATAATTACTTCTTAATATAAAGTTCTCTCTTACATATATATGAGTGTCTCTGGATTTGTTTCTCTAGTCAACCTGGACTAACCAACTTTAAAAATAAAAAATGAGATTGAATAATGTACTCAACTTTAACATACCCCTCTGATATTTCTTTAGCATGCCTTCAAAGGCAAAAGAAGTGGTAGGCTTATCAACTAGATTTTCTGCCAAGGGCCATTTGGATATTAATAAAATCACTTGCGGGCCATACAAAATCATCAACTTATAAATTTTCCTGCTATGTTTGGTCAAACATTTAATGAACTGAGCCCTAAAGTGATGGCTGGAACGGCTTCTCTTTTGCGAAGAGTGTGATTTTAGCTGGAATTGGATGATTTCTTTGGTCTTATAAGGCCCACGGATCAGATGTCCCTCACCCCTGAACTAGACAAACATGGACTAATACTGTTCATTACATTTACTTTGCTTTATGATTTTGTGGGTTTTTTTTAATATAGAAATGGGTTTCTTTCACACACAAAAAGGGCGGCGAGGGGGCGCCTGCGGGAATAGACTTACAAGGCGCACCAGAGAATTTTTTTTTTTTTTTTTTAATTTCAAACCAGCCATCAAGGAGCAGATAGCCTCATCTTTCTCCCACAGAGGAGCTGGTGGCTTTCAACCACCAAGCATGTGGTTAGCAGCCCAACACCTAATGATTTCTAACAGACTATTATAATGATGTGTCATAAAAAAAGTGGTAAGGCCACAGTTCCATTAGACAGCTCAGTTAATTGGACGAAGAATGTGTTTAGTCTTTTGTTCAATCTACCAGGTAAGTGAGTAGTGGATGGGTTCTTACAAGCAGTCATGCAAGACTGGACAATGGTCTCTATTTGCCTGGAGCAACAGATGAAGGAGAGTCAGGATAAAAGGAAAATATGGAATGTGTGACTAATTAAGTGTATGAGTAACTCTTCTTTTTCATGAGACTAGAACTAGATGGCACCCAGTTATCATTAATGAATATTTAGACAAAAAATTCTATAGCAGAATTTTGATTAAAAGGGGACATCATAGAACAGGATTCAAATTTTCATTGACTTCAGAATTTCTGTGGCCACAGAGGCTAGATAAACCCCTGAAACTACTGCCCTGAGATAAGCTTTAATTTGTAAACCAAAATATCCCCTCAAATCTTAAAACACAGTTTAACTTGTAAAGAATTTCTGCTTTGAGCAATCTGCTCTTTCAATATCTATGTGAGATCGCATGTCAATAGCAACTTGAAAAATCAGATAAGGAAACTTAGCGGGCAGTAGTTTATGTTAACAGAGGATGAACGACCCAGAAGAAGAGAATGCGGATGACTGTACAACTCAAAGAATGCAATCAATGCGCATGACTATATACATGGAAATTGAATTGGGTGTTTTGCTGTTTATATTCTCAATAATGGAAACAAAATAAATAAATCACTTTTCTATTTCCCCTTTGTGGCAAAACTTCTCAAAAAGAGCTATGTTCACCATTGCCAATATTTCTCCTCAAACTCTCTCAAATCAAGTTTTTGCTCCTACCACTTCCCCATAACTGTGATCATAAAAGTAATTAATGACTCAATTGTCTTCATTTTGACTGAGGAGCAGCATTAAATACAGCTCTTCACACCCTCCTCCTTAAAATATGTTCTTCTCTTTGCTCCCCAAATCTCTCTCCTGATTTATTTCTTTAGCTTTTCAGTGACTTTCACTAGTCCAACTCTGTATTGATGCTAATGAATGCCAAATGCATTTTCTCGTGCCTGGATCTTTTTCCTAAATTCTAACTATTTTTTCCAACGGTCTACCTGATTCCCATACTGTGATTTTGAGATCTATATCTTTAAAATATATACAGAATTCAATCAGTTCTTACCTTTACTTCTACCACATGGACCAAGCCAACATAATCTCTCATCTGGATTACTGCAATAACTCTATTTCAAACCAACAGCCAGAGTGGTTATTTTAAAAACATAAGCCATATTCAATCATCTCTCTGCTCAGAACACTCCAATGGCTCCTTATTCCACTAGAGTATAGGCCCAAACCCTTGCATTCATTCTCTCTCTCATCTACTCCCTCGTTCTGTCTGCCTGTTCACTCCATGGCACATGAACCTCAAACTAGAACTTGAACTTGTCAGATATGATCCTATAAGTTAATGGTGTTCATTGTTCATCTGGATTATCCTTTCCCATTCTCCAAAATATCTAAAATATCATCATCTTAATTTTTAAAATGAATTTTAAAAATTCAAATGCCACCTTTCCATTGAAACTTAGACCACCTCATTAAATATTGCATGCCCCTCACCCCCATCTCACCATCATCCTTATGTTTTTATTTCTGTAATACTTCTCTCCTTTTGTATTGTACCTTAAAAATTACTTTTATTATGTTAATGCTGTTTCCCCACCACATAAATATGAACTAGCTGCACAGGGGTAGGATTTTTTTCTATTTTGTTCATTGCTCTATCCCACATACCTATAACAGTGTCTGAAACATTAAACTTTTCAGTCAACACATAAGAAACTCACCTCTTGGTGAAATGTTATCAGATTGGAATGGTTTGTTACCTCCCTTTTCTTCACAGAGGTAGGTTTGCTGAAATAGTCTTTTCTCGTTTCTGCTTGCACTTAAGTTTGTATAATTTTCACTTTTGGATTGTTCCAATAAACTGTTTCTTGATGTTTGTTCTTGTTCATCACGCAGTATTTTTTCTTTCATTCTTTGAAATATTTTTCTTGGTGACTCATAGTTTGCACTATTTTGTATTTTCTCCTTACTGGGCTTTATAGCACTGATATCAAAAGAATGGCTAGAGGTACTAGCTTCTCTTAGCACAGTAGATTGAAGTATTTTTTTATCATTAAGAGTTTTGATTTCTAGGCACTGATTATTCATATGATCATTAAACTCTAAAGAAGATTTCTTATATTTCACCAAATCTTTTATAGGAGTAAGTGTGCCTGGAGGAATGCTGTCAAAGAAGATGGCCTGTATGGGAATATCTCTTTCAGAGGTCTCTGAAGACAAATAAATTCCTGGATGTTTCAAAGGTGTTGTACTCATCTTGATCAAACAGTAGAAACAAAGTTCTTCCAACAGAAAAATCCTGCAAGCACAATTTTGAAAACAGAAATTCAGTAGGGGCTCAGAAGTAACTATAATTGAATGTAAAACTAACCTTTACCATGCTTTTGTACAGAAAAGTTTAATTTGATTTCTAAAACAACATTATACTAATTCAAAAAGGTATACATAACAAATCAGAATGAGATGTTACTTTTTGTTAAGTTTCATTTTTATTGTTGATTTTCAACAAATGGGCAGTTTGGTCATTATATTGACTTCTCCACAAAAAAAGCTGTATTCACTAAATCATTTATTTAAGCTCTAAGAATTTAATTTTATATATATCTGCTTTTGTAATTTACCTAAATATTAAATCCTAAAGGTTCCAATTTAATATCTGTATCAAGAAACATTAAATGACATCTGCATGTGGTCCTAGTTTACATTTTAAAAGTTTTACATATATGGTACTTAAACTTTAAGGCAGCAGGTACAATGTTATATCCTAACAAAGGCCAAAAATGTCATTTAAATAATACCCAATCCTGATTTTGTGATGCTCTAGAATATTTTAATTATTGCAGGTTTTCTTTTCTTTTTGCAAAAGCTTTATATTAAAAGTAAACTATATTCATTCTAATTTTTAAACATATAATGATATTTGGAATTTTAAAGGAAATTATATACTTGAGCATGCATGAGCTTATACTTGTTTCTATACTTGGTCTTAGCCCAAAATTTTTTCTATATAAATGTATAATTTATTCTCCACACCTACAAATTAAGTTATGTTCAAAATTTGGTAAGTGTCTTAGCTAGCTGGTGATGCCATAACAGAACATCAAGTGGACGGCTTTAACAATAAAAAAATCTTCATGGAAGCAAGCTGCCTATCTTTGTACCCAGGGAGTGGCTGGTGAGTTCCAACTGTACCTTGGGGTGAGTAGCCCCACATTTACGGCATTATACCACCAGAGTTCCTTTCCAGAAAAGTACAAGCTATGCAAAAAAGGCAGCGAGGGGATAGAAACAGCCTAAGCCCTATGACAATCACCCAGGAGGAAAAACTCAAGAGACTAGGGCTTTCCTTAGAGCCAACAGAGAGACAAAGCCTCCTCCCAAAACTAGCTCCTGGAATTTGGACTTCTAGTCTAAATTTCTGTCTGTTAGAGCCATACACTTGTGGTCTTTCTTTTATAGCAGCCTTGTATAACCAAGACAATTTTTCAGATTTACACAACTCCTATTGTTGTATACAATTGTCCTAATCATTTTAGGAAATAACCCTGTGGTGTATGTAGTGAATTACACACTGGGCTGCTAACCACAGGTCAGTGGTTTGAAACCACCAGATGCTCTAAGAGAGTAAGATGATACTTTTTATTCCCATAAAGCAGGGGTTCTCAACCTGTGGTTCATGACCCCGTTGGGAGTTGAATGATCCTTTCACAGGGCTTGCCCTATTCATAACAGTAGCAAAATGACAGTTATGAAGTAGCAATGAAAATAATTTTATGGTGGGGGATGGAAATCACCACAACACGAGGAAATGTACTGACGGGTCACGGCATTAGGAAGACTGAGAACGACTGCCATAACGGTTCAGTCTCAGAAATACACAGGGACAATTTTACTCTTGTCCTACAGAATTGCTGGAGCCCTGGTGGCATAGCGGTTACGCAATGGGCTGCTTACTGCAAAGTCAGCAGTTCAAACCCACCAAAAATGGAGCTTTTTACTCCTGTAGAGTGACAATTTGGGAAATCCACAGGGGCAGTTCTACCCTGTCCTTTAGGGTCACCATGAGTTGGAATTGGCTTGATGGCAGGAAGTTTTTTGGTTTTGTTTTACATTTTAATTTTCATAGTCGTTTTGAATTGGAATAGACTCAGTGGCAATGAATTTAAGTTTGAGTCATTTTGTTGTTGTTAGGTGCCTTTGAGTCTGTTCCAACTCATAGCTACCTACATACACAGAAGGAAATTCCACCTGGTCCTGCGCCATTCCCACACCTGCTCTTATGTTTGAGTCCATTGTTGCTACTACTGTGTCAATCCATCTTGCTGAAGGCCTTCCTCTTAGAAATCATCTAAATAGAAAATACCTATCACAGAAAACAGTGAGGCTTGGTGGCATAGTGCTTATGAGATGGGCTGCTAACTCACAAGCTCAGCAACTGGAAACTACCAGCCACTTCTCAGGAAAAAGATGAAGCTTTCTACCCCACAGAGCGGTGGTTCTCAACCTTCCTAATGCCACGCGACCCTTTAATACAGTTCCTCGTGTTGTGGTGACCCCCCCCACCATAAAATTATTTTCGTTGCTACTTCATAACTAATTTTGCTACTGTTATGAATATGGCGACCCCTGTGAAAGGGTTGTTTAACCTCCAAAGTGGTTGTGACCCACAGGTTGAGAACCATAGAGAGTCTCAAAGATCCACAGGGGAAGTTCTACCCTGTTCTTTTGAGTCACTATGAGTTACAACAACTTGATGGCAGTGCGTTTGGTTTGTTTTTGGACCACAAAAAATACTAGCGCAATCAGACCAAAAGACATCAAGACAAACACATTAAATGCGTGTTGGTTTGTTGTTGCTAGCTCATGGCATTAAAAGCTGCCAGGTTCTGAAGAGGTTTTGATCTACAGGGCTTTCATTGGCGGATTTTTATAAGTGGATCACAGGCCTTGTCTCCTAGTCTGTCTTACTTGCTCCATTGAAGCCTTAATGCAAGCCTCCATTGGTTAAAGGGGGGTGGCTATGCATGAGGTGCACAGGCTGGGAACGGAAACTGGTCGACTGTATAGAAGGCAAGAATTTGACCACTGAACCATAAACACAATCACAATGACACAAAGCCTAATGAAATGCTAAAAATTAGAAGTGAAAAAACTGTGAATATGCTAGTAGCACTGAAAACTGGCCTAACCTTACTAGAAATGCAGAGCTGTTTTCATCTGAAAGCAGATAACTAGGGTGACACTGAATGGCTCCAAGACACAGCTCCTCGCCTCCATGTTTTCCAGTGTACCTCCCTCCCTGCTCTTCTCCCCAATTCATGCAATAGGATGGAGAAGCTGAAGTCATGATTCCACTCTTTCTCCCAAAAAGACAGAAAGTTTCTGTAGGCGCCCTTCTTTGCTGTGTAATAAACAGCAAGTCAAAAGAAATGCTAATATTTGCCAGTGTTAACAGTGGGTGCTGGTAAGCAAACCCCAAATCCCTCCTATAGAGTTAATTCTGAAAACATTCCTATATAGGGTTTCCAAGACTAAATCTTTGAGGGGAGCAGACAGCCTCATCTTTCTCTGAGCAGGTGGTGGGTTTAAACTGCCAGTTTGCAGTTAGCAACTCAAGTTGCTGGCCCACCAAGCTTAGATGCTGACATTCCCGCTCGGAGCAGCCAATGCACAGAGAGGACCATAGGGATATAGGTCTATGTATATATATTTATATGTTAAGTATTAAGGTAGCAGTTGGACATTGGGATTTATATGTTAAGTATCAAGGTAGCAGTTGGACATTGGGCCTCTACTCAAGCCATCCCTCAACACAAGAACACTTTGTGCCAATAACCTGGCATTATGTGAGGCTCACCTTCCTGACACAATTGAAGTAAAAATGGGTGCATAAGCAAATGTGAAGTAAGCTGATGGGGTCTTAAAGGATTGATTAAACAAGTGGCCATCTAGCAGGGAAGCAACAAAACCCACATGGAAGAAACACACTAGCCCGTGTGATCATGAGGTGTCCACGGGATCATGTATCAGAAGACCCCAAACAAATAATCATATTGATGCGAACCAGGGGAGTTGGAGTGGAGACCCAAAGTCCATCTGTAGACAACTGGACATCCCCTCACAGAAGGGTCACAAGGAAGGGATTAGCCAGTCAGGGTGCAGTATAACACCAACAAAACACACATTCCTATAGTTCTTTTTAAAAAAAAAATCATTTTATTGGGTGCTCATACAACTCTTATCACAATCCACACACATCCATTGTGTTATGTACATTTGCACATCATTTTCAAAACATTTTCTATTTGAGCCCTTTGTATCAGCTCAATTTTCCTCTCCCTCCCCCACGAACCCTTGATAATTTATAAATTATTTTTTCATGTCTTATACCAACTGTTATCTCCCTTCACCCACTTTTCTGTTGTCCGTACCCCAGGGAGGTTATATGTAGATCACTGTGATTGGTTCCCCCTTTCTCCTCCCACCTTTCCCTTACTCTCCTGGTATCACTACTCACATTACTGGTCCTGAGGGGTTTATCTGTCCTGGATTCCCTGGGTTTCCAGCTCTGTACCCGTGTACATGCTCTGGTTTAGCCAGATTTGTAAGGTACAATTGGGATCATGATAGTAGAGGATGCATTAAAGAACTAGAGGAAAGTTGTATGTTTCATCAGTACTATACTGCATCCTGACTATCTCATCTTTTCCTTGTGACCCCTCTGTGACAATGTCCAATTGTCTACAGATGGGCTTTGGGTCTCCACTCTGCACTCCTCCCTCATTCACATTAATTTTTTGCTCTGGGTCTTTGATGCCTGATACCTGATTCCATTTCTCTAGTTCTTTAATAATTCCTTCCTAATATCCCTTCACTATCATGACCCCAGTTCTACCTTACAAATTCGCTAGACCAGATCATGTACACTGGTACAGATTAAGAGCTCTGGACACAGAATCCAGGGCAGATAAAACCCTCAGGAACAATGAGACTAGCTATTTCATGAGGGTAGGGGGAAGGTGGGGGGGGAGAATAATGTAACAATGAATAATGTACAACCACCACCCCCACTTCCAGGGGGACGAACAACAGAACCGTGGGTGAAAGGAGGCAGCAAAGGGTGTAAGATATTAAAATAAAAATAATTTATAAATTATCAAGGGTTCATGAGGGTGGGAGGATGCAGGAGGGAGAAAAAAAGGGTGGCTCAGACCAAGATATCAAATAGAAAAAATATTTTGGAAATGATGATAGCAACCTATGTACAAATGTGCTT